AATGATACTCTAGGGAATGACACGTAGTCTAAATGGGAAAACGTAACGCCCAAGGTAAAGAGGCCACTTCCTGCTTACCAGTTCTTGTACAATCTTGTTGATGGCTTCACGGGCTTTCTCACAGTTCTGTTCGTATCCTGTCAGAGTGATTCTGTTTTTGTCTTCATCACTTGCATTGACTGGAGGGAACTGAATGTTGACGTCATACTCCTTGCGAATACTGGTGACTACAGCACCCTTACGTCCAATGATCTTGGGGTGGTATTTGCTGTCAATTTGAATGTCCAGTTTGAAGCTACGGAGGGCCTGAAAATTATCACAAAACAATAGCCGGTGTGAGTCGTTGAAGACACACTTTATGACAAGCCATAAGAAGGGGGGAGGGGAGAGTGAAAGAAAAGTGGCGTATAAAAGATATAGAGAAAAGGATTAAAGGAAAGGGAAGCGTGGAAAAGGAAAGGGAAGCGTGGAAAAGAAAGGAAACGAAGCAAAAAAAAGAAAAAAAAAAAAGAAAGGAAAACTTACTCTGTCCTCGTTCTCCGCTTCAATCTCATCCACCTTCTCCCTGAGCGCGTCCATGGCCTTCGCAACATTAGCCTTTGGGCCAACAACGTTGACAACATCAGACTTGTCTTTGGCGGGTGGGATGGCAATGTTAACATTATATTCATCCATCAAACGACGGACATTGGCGCCCTTGTTGCCGATGATGAAGCGATGGTAGTCAAATGGAATAGTCATCTGCTCTGTAATGGGTAACAGTTCCTTAAAAAAGAATGTAAGACCGTATGAGAAACTATCGAAGCTACAAAATAAATGGTTTACACTGTAACATAGACGAGAGTCGCAGAGTTTTAGGAGCGCGTGCGCGTTTAGGCGCGAAAACTTCCCATCAAATCCACAGGAATCCCAAAATCAACGGCAAGGAAAACTAGACATCTTACCAGAAGGTCAGCCTTGGCAGCTTCGGCCTCTTCTTTCTTGCCCGTAACAACAATGACATCACATTTTTTGGGTTGATGAGTGTCTCCATTCATACCATCAGAATCCCCATTCACAGCCCCATCCTCCGTTGGTGTGGCACGATCTGGGAACTTGATTTGAACGTTGTGCCTAAAAACACGAAAATGATTATACTATCTTACAGACTCATTTTTACTTTACTGTTGGTATTTGTGAATATTTGGACACTGAAATAAGGCTAATCCTGTATGAACGAGTCTGTGATTAAGGAACTCAGCGGTATACAGTCAATTCAAAAAACGTTGTCGTCGACCAACTCAAGCCTACGCGACTGGACCGAAAGGAATATGGGTAAAAATCACTAAAACGGTTAAATATTCGTTCTGAATTGATTGTTCCCGCTAGTAATAAAATAATAATGGCGAGAAGCAATCCATCAAATGCATGTCTTCGGGTTTAGGGAACGAAAAACAAAGTAGTTATGATCCCGAAAATATGAAGGCATTGAAAAAACGTCTCCTTCAACACTTCCCGCTCGCCTACGAAGGTTGGTGCTGTAAACCAGGCATAAACTAGTCAGATAAAATTATGGAGTCAACTCGGCTTCAATGATAACTACCCAGAGTTCCTTTCGGTCCAGTCGCGTAGGCTTGAGTTGGTCGACGACAACATTTTTTGAATTGACTGTATGACTAAATCGAAAACGATCTACTCCTGCAAGCGTTACACAGATAAGCAGTTACACAGATTAGTAGCAGTCACGCACTTGTCGCGTGCAAATACAACGTTCAGGATTTCGCGCAAAGTTGCATTGGGCTTACCTGGAAGTTATCTCCTGTACGTTACAACCCTTGGCCCCCATAATTGATCTATGGTGTTCCTGAGCGATGACAACATCAATGGTTATCATAGACTCCAAGTCGTGTACGATCTCCAAGATACGAGCCTTGGCAGCCTCTACACAGTCTTTTGCTCCCTTCAGAACAACACGATCAGAGTTGACTCCACTGCGAGGGAAGCTCACCACGACACCACCAAACTCATCAGCAATTTCACGGAGGACTTCTCCTCGTTTGGCGACGAAGTGCTTGTGCCATTTTGGGTCTACGTGAACTTCGCCTTCAGAAATGTTGTCCTGTAAAAATAAATGACACTGTGATCAGTTAAGTGACTGAGCCAACAGTTATAGCGAGGTGGACTCCCCTGTTAATATCCTCCCGTTATGATTGACAATAGACCCTATTCGTGGYGTGACAATGTTTTCCCAATTGAACGTGACAAACCTCTAGGGGGATGAAGAGCTATTGTTTTGCAACTCGTCGGGATATCATCGTTATTCCTTTCGTATCCTTTGGGATACTCATGAATGTTTCGAAGAGTAAAAACAAAAGAAAATGAATCCCCTCGAGGTTTGTCACGCTGATTTGGGAAAACATTGTCACACCACGAATAAGGTCTATTGAAGTTTGTATTTAAAAAACGTATATTTTACAACCATCACTCCCTGTAAGGGGCTTTTCGGTGAGGTTCCCTCCACACACACTACCACTACGTTCACTATTGACAACACACAACACTCAACTCATGTTGATTTTTACGGAGCGAGGAAATCCAGAGAAACTGGAGAAAATCTTTAAGTGGCAAGGGAGAGAACACTCATCAAACAAACTCAATTTATATATGTAGCTCGAATCTGTGACACCTCAGCTTGAACTACACACAACTGAGAGCAGCGCAAGGCAACCATGCAACCACACCACACCTTCTTGAGGAAAAGCAAAGAAACAAAAACCTACACATGCCTTCTCAAAATAAATTCTGCGTTTCAACACAGATGGCAAGCTTACCAGATCCTTGATAGACTTGAGTAGCTGTTCTTTGGCAGCTTCAACCGATTCTTTCTTTCCAATGATGGTGATAAGTTCCTTGTCTTCATCTTTGGATGTAGGGAAGACAATCCTAGCCCCTGTATCCTCGCGTACTTTGCGGATTGAGCCACCACCGCGACCAATCAGGAATCTGTGGTGTTCTGGTTTGGCACGGATCTCAGCTGTGAAGCTACTGAGCTCCTGTGGAAAAAAGACAGTGGGGTTAAATGCGCGATTACACGGAGCAATTCTCTCTGCAACTTTGTCTCGCAACAGCGACACAAGTTGCAAGAGTGTCTACACGGTGCAACGGAGACTCAATCGTTGCCAAATATTTTTTCAAATCGCTCTGTAGGTTACACGCTGCAATGCTCCATGCAATTTGTGTCACAACGCCGTTGCGTGACAATTTGCAAAGAAAATTGCTCCGCGTAATCGCGCCTTATAAGATGGTGACACTAGTAAAGAGAAACCGATAGAAATGATGCTGATTATGATGTCTTGAGGTACGTAACAGAAACTCATAGAGCAGTTTTCGTATGACTGAAAAGCTCAGTGCCGTAAGCGTGACGTACCGTGACCGTGATGCTTTCTAGAATTTKAATTGACTGTTTTTTTTCATGCGCAATGTGATTGGTCTGGCGTATCCCTTGCCGTGTCACGACCGTGTTTGTGCTTTGAACTTTTCACGGTCACACGGAAATTGCTCTAATGATCTTTGTCCCCCCGAGTGGTAATGAAAAGTGGCTTGGCTCATGGACTAGGGAGTTTGTACGTAACACTAAAACCATGCTCAGAAATATTCAGATATGCAAATTAGGAGTTTTGATGCCATATTTGGAATCATGTGTTTTATTTCAAGATGGCCGCTTCTCTCACATATCATATCAAACTTCTTACTGTATTTCCTGACTTTCAGAGAAGAATTACTGAATCTTTCAATCAAACATTCGGGATATCTGTCTTTAGTTTAGTTTTGGAATTTTTTGAAGAAAGAGGATGTGATTTTCTGGAAGGAAATTGCCCTATTTCACTATGACGTCACATCAAAACAGACTATTGTTTAAACGCAAAGGATCATGGTCGTCGGACGGAGTCAAATCAACGCAAATTCACCGAAAATTGTTCTAAAACCCGTATCAATCCACGAAGAGAAGTAGAATAGCTAGCAAACGCACAGAATATTTTTTTAGTACATATTAACACATATTATATCTGAAAACCAGGCCATTTTAGATTAAACTGTTTCGCTAGGAGCAAATTTTGTTGAATTTCCTATTGGATTTGGCAATTCTATCCCCCACAAAAACAAGCAGTGACGTCATAGTGAATTAGGACAATTTGTAAAGACCCATTACTTTATTGCAATCTTTATAGCATACTTGCCTTCTCGCTAGAAAGTTGCAGGAGTTGTTTCTTTGCCTTCTCCACGTCATCCTTAGGGCCACGGATTTGAATCTTGTCACTCTTGCTTCCTTCTGGAGGGAACTTGATGCTCACACCACCACAATCTTCCATGACGGAGCGAATCAAGCGACCCTTGGCGCCGATGATGGAGTTGTGGAACTTGTGAGGAATCTGGATCTCTCCTTGTGTCACGTTAGCCTGCAGATGATAGAGGATTGGTTGTGTTTAAAACGTTGTATTGGATGTATGGAATGAATAGGCGGATGGATGGATGAATGGTGTGGTGAATGGATGGATAGATGACAGTATTGCAACATGGTGGCCCATTCAGCACGAATAATAATAATAATGATAATAATAATAATAATAATATATAACTTATATAGCGCCTATATATTAATATCCAGAGAGAGAGGATAACAACTATAATAATTTATATTTCACTAGAATTATCAAAATGTTTGAGAAATTTTCATGTCGTGACAAAAAGAAAACCTTTGCAAGGAAAAGGTTTTCTTTATAGCCATATTTACAGGAACTGGATTGTTTATTGATTCACCAACCAAAAACTAAATAACAAATTAACAACCAATTCACTGACTGTCTAGAAGATGGATACAGAGACAGACAAACAAATGAACAATGTAACTTTGGGGGGGAGGGGGGGTACTTTTTGCAGCAAAACAAGCTCACAAGCTCCTCGACCTAAAATCGCTTGTTAAGTCACTGGTTTCTATGAAAAATTGCAATGTTCATTTACTTACCAGTTCATTCTGGATGGCTAATATCTTGTCTCTAGCAGCCTCAACCTGGGCCTTATGTCCAGTGATGACTATCACATCACTGTCGCTTCCTTCAGATGGTAGTTCAATCTTAGTGTCTGTCTCCTCACGAATCTAAAGAAAATTATGAAAAACTATTATAAAATGACTGTCATAAATCTCTTTTTGATTGACAATGCGTTGGGTTTCTACGGACACTTTTCTTGCACTATGTCTATCCTGATGTCCTTTATAACTAAATAGGGCTAACATATCCACATTTGCTATTCCTTCAAGTAATTTAACGAAGATGCTATAGTATGTAATGAAAGAGTATCTAGAGAGGCCGCATTATTCACAACGCATAAAAAGAATGCTGTCCCAACCTGTGGTAGCGGGCAGCTCACACCAAGGTCATGGTATGGAATGGATCATTTATATTATGGCGTCTTTTAATTCATTATCACTACCAGAATGTTTCTCATGTTTTCTCTCTTATTTACTGCCATTTCCATAAACATGAGCTGCATGCTGGAATTTATTTTTTGCTGCCGCCAGTCAAAAATATGAAAGGTACAGACTGATTAGTTTTGATTGACAGCAGCGAAAAACTAAATTTCTTTGGCAACTTGCAGCTACTGAGTTCACATGTTTATAAAAATGGCGTTAAGTCTTGGTTGGAATAGTAAGACAATGATTTTACATATTGTACCTTCTTGATAGTGGTGCCTCCTCGGCCRATGATGTTCTTGTGGAACTGCTTGAAGATGGGTACCTCCACCATGTAGTTAGAAGCAATCTGAATAGAGAAACAGCATGAAACAGTTAGGATTTGTTTACCACAGGAACACTGGAGAGTAAGATAAAGAAAAATCTATATGAAAAAACTTGTATCTTACAACTATCATTCCCAGAAAGGGACTCTTCCATGACGTTTGTTCCACTTGGATGACCACTACATTCACTATTTACAACACACAACACTCAACTCATGTATTCATCTTACCAATTCAGCATTCAGTTTCTTCAGGTAAGCAAAAGCCTTGTCCACATCTTCTCGAGGACCTCTCAGTGACACGACATCACTTTTGAGGGAGGAGTCTGGGAAAGAGATCTGTACTTCAGGATACTTGTCACGCAATTCTCTGATCTTGTCACCTTTTGAACCAATAATGGTACGGTGGAATCTGTGTTCGATCATAATATCTCTGCTCTTTTCATTTTCCTGCAATCAGGAGGAGAAGGAAAAGGTAAAAAACAATGTTATCAAACTCATTAATACTTCATGAGGAAAACACAACAGAAATCATGACCGTGAAGAGTGTTCTAAATCTGATACAAAATTGTGTTCATTTGCATAAACTTTAAGTTGGATTTTCTTAGCCAGATTCATTTTAACTTTGAAAATATTAGTGAAACACAAAGGAACTAACCTAGACGTTTGATAAGCAATCTACAGTATGAGTGGCCGTGTTGTATTCGATATACAAACTGGGTCACACAGCCACTCATACTGTATATATTACTTATGGACATTGTCTCGTGCATTACTGTGTGGATACTCCAGCCAGGACCACTATGATAAACTAGTATCATTAGCCAATCATATTGTGACATTTAGTTCAATATTTTAAACCAGCCAATGAGATTGCGCATCAATATAATAAGAGCGTGAGAACGTGATAATCTGATTGCCTAACACTGTTAACAGTTCAATTTCTGTCTAGTTTACCGTTATCTGATTGGTCAGTTTTATTCAATAGGTCCCCGTTAGTGTGTCCGTACAGTACTGCACTGTCTCAGTTTGACGTTGATGGGTACAGAAAATCACAAGTTTAATTTTAACCAATCATGTGGCTTGAAATCATGTTATTAATCGTTTTCATAATAGAACACTTTATCTTGAGAATTTATGTTTTCCCATTTTAGACCATGTGTCATTCCCTAGAGTATCTATTCTTTGCCTAACAGTTATGCATGAGAAGACACATGAATATGGATATGACTCAAACAAAGAATCATATTCTCAAGAGAATGATTTGTGGTCTGAAATGGAAAATATTACGCTCAACGTAAAGAGGTCTATTCTAGGCCTGTATTTTCTCACAAAACATTGACTTACTAGTTTCTTAGCCATGATGAGGATTTCATTCTTGGCAGCTTCAACCCCCTGAGGGGATCCCTCAATCCTGATGACGTTGCTCTTGACGTCATTGGATGGGATAAGGATGGATGTGCCAGTCTCTGTCTTGATGCGCATCACTATAGCAACATCATAAAAAATGAGAATGGTACATGGTACTCAGAGCTTTCAATAGAAGGCAGCAACCGATACTTCTGCCTAAACTGCCGGCTATTTTTGACTTAATAGTACACATAATTAATAAAAARGGGGTCTAAAATTCCATTTATTGCCCCCTAATATTTGGGAATAACCGCTTACTCCAAAAAATATTGAAAGCTCTGGGTACTGAATTACAGCAAGTAACTGGTATGAGTATTGAAAGCATGGTGGTGAGTACTGCTTATGTTTCATACCAAGATTCCTATTATACATGAAAAAATTAGAGCTTCTTGTTGCTTCTCTCCTGTGCTTTGAGGGTTTTTTCCCAGGTTCTCTGGTTTTCCTCCCTCCACAAAAGCCAACTAAATTCCAATACAATTTTGAATGAGAGCCACAGGTTTGTCAGCCACTTGCTATAAACCCCTTGCATGTGACGTCAAAGCAGCTCAATTTTGAGTACAAAACAAAAGAATTTCAATCTCCTGAGAATTGGAAACCTATTGTTATGTCCTCCAAATTGAGCTGCATTCTGACACGGTATATTAAGTGCTACCCTCGAATGAGTACAATCACTATATATGGTTAGTCCCTTACTCACCATTAGCACCATTCTTTCCAATAATGTGTGGATGGAATTTCTGGTCAACAGTGATTTCAGCATATGCCATGGATGCAATCTGAGAAGAAAAAAATAAAATTCATATTCCTAAGACCTTTCCCTCAAAACCATACTATCAAGATCAGAGCAGATATATTAAAATAATGGCTTACCAGTTCTCTGATGAAGGTTTCCAGAGCTTCCCGAGCCCTTTCTACTTCTTCTGGGGGACCATCAAGAACGATAGAATCCTTTTCACTGCTGAACTCAACATGAACCTGGGGAAAAAATCAACAATCTTGAGAAAACTGGAAAAAAAATTAATTTTCAAGATTGTTTTTTTTTTTGGCATTTCTTGGAGTTAGTAAAATATCCTGGTTGGTTTAGCCCAGTTTTAATGGACCTTCACTGGAATGCATGCATTTAAAWATATCAAATTGATATTTAACAGTCAGCAACAGAGAATTCACCTTTTTGGCGCTAACCGTCACCTGGTGTAAATTGTGTTGGATTGTGTTACGGTTACCAAGAAGTTAGGACATTGTTCTCGGATTTCTGTACAAATGTACTGATTTTAAATGAACTGCACTTCTTGGTTTGTTTAGTTAGTTCTCTAAATACAAGTAAAATATCATTTTTCTAGCTTGATTGAATCTTTTCTTACTGCTGTTAAGAGAGCTAACTAAAGWAATTTACCTAAATTTTCTCTTTAAACTCAGTGAATTTGTATGGGAATCCGAGAACAATGTCCAAACTTTTTCAATCCAACACAATTTATACCATGTGCAGCTAGCGCTGAAAATGTGAATTGGAAACTGAAGTATTCACTTTGAAGTATTCACAATTTTTTAAATAAATAAGTTTGTTTTACTAACCTTGGGCAAATCCTGGGTTATTTTTCGAATGTTCTGTCCTTTGCGTCCAATGATGAACCTATGCAACCAACGTGGGGCCTCGACTTCTGCAAAGATGACACTGTTTGCCTTCTCATACACCTGGGTAAGAGCTACACCAAGCTTGTCAGGGTCACCACGAAGAGTGATGGTTTCYGAATCACTCTCGGTTGGAGGAATCTCGACAGAGACTCCAGTCAAAGCAAGGATTTCCTGGATGGTTCCTCCCTTTGGTCCAATGACATACTTGTGCTGGGATTTCCTTACTTCGATGGATACAGTAGTGGTCTTGCGTTTCTGGAGAAAATGAAAGTGTAAAGTTTAATTTCAAAGTTTCATGAAAAGAAGATTAGAGATATTAATTCAAGTGTATTCTTGTGCATAGGATGCATTTGAGTCAATATTAATTTTCATATCCACTACATTTGTTAGAGGTACTCTTTAATTTCAGGGAAAGTCATAATGACACTGAGGATGGTGATGATGATGGTGCAATGATTATGATGGCAGTGGTAGTAATGTTGATGATGATGATGATAATGGTGGTGATGATGATGATAGTGGTGATGGTGGTAATGGTGATGATGATGATGATGGTGATGATAATGGTGGTGATGATGATGATAGTGGTGATGGTGGTAATGGTGATGATGATGATGATGATGGTGGTAGTGGTGGTGATGATGGTGGTGATGATGGTGATGATAATGATGGTAGTGATGATGATGATGATGATAATGGTGGTGATGATGATGATGGGGGTGGTGGTGATAATGAAGGTGTTTGTAATGGTGATGATGTTGTTTGTGATGATAGTAGTGATGGGTGATGATGGTGTTTGTGATGGTGATAACATTGCTGATGACAGCTATATATAATTATGTTGTTACTTCCTTGGCATGAGGAAAACACTCCAAACATAAATTTAAAAATGTCTTTTCATTTCAAAGCATTCCTTAAGGATTACCTCTTCATATGAGTCAAAAACAATGCATTTCTACAGTCCTACCTTTTCTTCATAGATGTCCAAGATCGTCTTCACAGCTGCTGCAACACCCTCCTTCTCTCCAGCTACAGTCATTTCATCCTTGTGCATGGTGGATGGAGGGATGTTGATCTTAGCACCAGTCTGCTCGGTAATCTTCTTGGCAATATCATTGTTGGGTCCAGAAATGAATGGATGGAAGGTACTGGGAATCGCAAGCCTTTCAAATGCAAGTTTAGCCTGGAAATAAAAAACGCAAAGAATGTTATAAACTTATTTTAATATTCCAATTCACTACATGTCTAAGCTGTGTCCTGACTTAGATCAACCCAGAAGTTAGTTGTTTAAGGGTTTACAGCCATTCTTGATCACATGCACCCTGTAGCGATTGTTTCTGTCGCGACAAAGAAGCTTTTGGTTGACGTCAATCAAGGCGTTTTCATGACATTCTACTATAGGCATGTACCCTCATAGCTTTGTGTTTTCCGACAATGTTATGGAAACGCCTTGTGATTGACGTCCACCAAAACCTTCTTCATCGCGACAGAAACAATCGCTAGAGGGTATGTGTGATTGAGAATGGTTTTAATAGTTTTTTTTTTTTTCAATCTGAGTCTTTATCAATATACTATAGTTAAATTTGGTATTAAATGTGTTGAAATTAATCTGAAGAATGCAAATTATGATTATTATGAATTTATAAAGTATATCATAGAAAGAATCAACCACCATGTTGGTTGATATAACAAAAAATAAACAAGGCCAAATCTTCTGTAAGAGTCACCCAACATAAGCCTTTTCGGAGTTCAATAAACATGAGACAACAGCAAAACCAAAGATATGACCTCTGTTTTAGTTGACATAACGAAAGAAACCAAGACCAAATCGCTCGCTCAAGTCACCTAACATGACGGCCATAATGTCAGCTACAACTAAATGATATTTTAGGATATATACTAACCTGTTCATCTGAGATGATCTGTAATTCATGCCGAGCCCTGTCCACACCCTCCTTGGTTCCAACGATCTTGATGGTATCAGATCCGTCACGGGGAATAGTAATCTTGGTAGCTGTGGTCAGTTCCAGTTGTTGTAGTGTCTTGCCACCCTTGCCGAGGATAAACTTGTGGTGTTCTCTAGGGATGTGGATTTCAATCTGAGCCTGTAAAAAAACAAAGACATGAAATAGAGATAAGTCAAACGATTCCTCAACTGCAGCCCTGGCTATTAATTAGTAAAGATATCTGAAATGTTGAGATGTTTGAAAATGGATGGCTTTGTTTGTATATACAACGTAATGGTATGAATGACATTCAATCAGCTGACTGATACCAAGCCATCGGGTACTCTATGGTTGATAGCACATGACGGGCAGTGTTTGCTTGTCATTACAGGCTGGTAATGAGATTAAAGATATTCATTCAGCTGATTGATACCAAACAATATAATACTCTGTTTGATAGCACAATGACTAATGTTTGCCTGTCATTGTAGTCCGGTATAGTAGTTCATTCAACTGATTGATAGCAAGAAATTTACTAGGAGAGTAGGGTTTTCAATAGAAGCCGGCAACCGACAGATTCTGCCGTCTACCCTTGCTAATTCTGCTGTCTACTCTTGCTAATTCGGCCGCCTACTTAGCCACTTCCCCATGTAATTGTAAATTTTGATAAAAGTTCTTTAAAGTTAGTTAAAATAAATTTTAACCCAATCCTTGTTGCTGTACTACGAAAACTGCAACGCAATCGAAACTACAACGATCGTTGTCTGCCATCTTGAATTTTTGTGAGAAAAGTGAGACTGGTGACAAGTATGCCTTGATTACATGCTCAAGTGATTTCCAGTTTACCGCCTATTTTAATTTCATAACCGCCTACCAAAAATTTTATTGAAAACCCTGGAAGAATTGGAATAGAAACTTGTTGAATCTCAAAGTACCTGGGTCTGTAGTTTAGCAAGCACCATACGTCTTGCCTGTGCAACAGCTTCAGGCTTCCCTGTAACCATGATGGTAAGACTAAGATCTTTTGCCAAGCTGATTTCAATCGCAGCATCAGTCTTCATCATAATGTCGCGGCATATACCCTGTTGTTCATCTCCTAACACACTGTCCTTTAACTGGGCAAAGCGACGCTCTTCCAGAGGCACTTTAAACACCTTAAAATAACACAATAAATCTCATTAAAACTTTAAATGCCACATTCACCTAATTGAAAAAACGTCAGTTTCAAAAAAAGGTTATATCATCAAAGCTAAGACTGAAGGGGAGCATGGGAAGACAAACAATTATGCTAATTTCATGCGTATTGCAGTTTTCCCTTCCTGTGTACATTTTATGCATCATGGCTTTGGTATGTCGTTAATCTTGGTCGACCGACTTTGCTCTACTGTGCATTTTTACATATCTATATGCAAATATAATACACATTTCGGAGTGCCCAAAATCCTTTTCTGTCTTAGCTTCGATGATATGACCTTCACAAACCTGACTACATTTTTTCAATTAGGCGTATATACTAGTTATTAAAGTGTATCCATGTCTTTGTGTGTGGAAAAATATATTGTTACATCTATAATCAAAAGAGGAAATTATCTTTTTGGGGAACTCAAACATTACTAAATGTAAAAATAATGGCAATTAGTATGACTAGTAGCATTCTGCGTCCAGTTGTACGAAGGGTGGATAGCATGAATCATGGTGAAAGAAACAATAAAGATAAATGTATCAAACGAGCTAAGAGAACACACTCTTCAAGGCCTATAATAGAAATATATAAACCTAAAAGGGCATTAATTACTTAATATATCAAAATCCCACACATGTTACTATAACAACATAGTTACCAGGGCAATGGTAGTTAAGATTAAATATGCTATTATGCAATGCAGAGAAAATTGACACAGCCGACTTGATTTAAAAAAAGATGTACCTCTAAATTGATATCTCCAAAGATATGAAATTCTTTATATGAAAATTTTTTTCAAAAGATAATTCATTAACGTATAACAACTGGAGTTAGGATTTTAAGCTTAATTTTAATCTCAACTGAGTATTAGTATTTTTAACTTAAATGCAGCCTAAGTACATGTTTAAACTTGTTTACTTAGCAAACGATAAAGTTTCAATTCCAAGATTATTTTATGAAAATCTTCATTTTTAACTTCTTTAGGTAAAAAATATACATGAAAACATGTCTTAGGTATCAACAGAATCTTATAAAGTTTTTTGATGAATATACTTTTGTGGAAAAAAGCAAAAACTACTATCAAAAATAAAACGAGCTTTAATAAAACTGAGTTCAAGTCAGTAAAATGTGCTATTTACCTGCAAAATAACAAAACATTAACAAAAAATCCTACTTATATATATTTTTTAATGAAGGCCAAATCTACAACATTGAACCATTTTCCATTTTTCCTAATAGTTTTACGCACAATCGTAACTTAAAATTTAATTTTTTTTACATATTTATTCTTTTCTTTTAAATCAGCTCAATTCAAGAAGTAAAATAACCAGAAGCAAAACAATCTCACTAATTGTCCTAAAAAAACCTGCAAAAGAGTCCTAAAAAAATGTCAACATTTGCGATCGTAAAAGCAAAACAAATTTATTCTCCATAATTTATAGAATGAAACATTTTCAATTCTTATTAATCCTCCTCCTACTAACCCCCAGACAGTCAATGTAGAATAGTCTCAAAAAAGTCATTATGAAAATATATTTTTTATAAAAATCTGAGAAGAATTTTTGAAAACGTTGATAAAACGAGGAGTTTAGAATAAGGATATTATATTGTCTACCACTGAAGTGTAAACGTGGCGATCAGACACCAGCTTCTTCAAAATGGCCCTCGCAAAAAAAAATCAAACATAACAACAATTTAAATAAGTCTTTGTTATCTGTACTAAGATAAGAATGGTCTTAAAGGAAACACATTTTAAAATAGGAAAATTAGTTGATCGGAATTTAGTCTTTTTGAGGAATGACCATATTTTATTTCAGTCGATAAGCGTGTTTAATGTTCGAAATGCTACTATATATATCATCAGCTGATATTCTAAGCTTAGTTCTATAGACAAAGTTAGAACTTGAATAAATGCATTTCTTTACTCTAGGATACCTTAGTTTATCTAGAGATAAAGTTTCTCGATAATTAACAGCTTGGTTAACGCTAAAAGGTTGAAAGAAGGTCGAGAAAAGGTGTTCTTACTTGAGTGATGCTGGTTGAACGAAGGGGTCCTGTTCCACGCCATTTTGGTGCAGTAGTTGGGGGTTGATCTGGAGAGTTAGAGCAAGGTAGAGGAGGAAAGGCCTCAGCGTATGTTGGTTGGTATCCTTCGATGTCAAAACCACCATTACTGGTGAGATTTTCGCTGTAATTAGGAGGTGTTTCGGCGTGTGGGACAGAGAACCCCGGCGCTCCAGAATACATTGAGCCGCTCGAGAACATCGTATCAGATGGAACACTACCGTTCATAAGGTCCATATTGTTTAAATCTTGTCCGTGTTCCGTTCAGGGGATCTACAGAACCACTAAACGAATCAAAAAGCACAGAAAAAAAACATCAAAATTAAATAACTTAAATGAGAACGAAGTCTGAATAGTAAGATCTAGAATCTCGTGATGTAAGATAGTGGACTTCACAAGTTTTCTTCAAGACTTACCTGGCAAGCAATGGTTACTGTTCCGATAAATCAAACCCGGAAAAAAGTTCTGATTCAAAAGGCCACTGTTTTAGGCAAGCCAAATGTCCCAGGAACTTAAGTCCAGAGAGTTATTGAAGAAAGAAGTAAAGAACTTCTTAAGATTTTTTCTCCGTCGAGAAAAAGAARAAATGTGAAGCAATCAGACTCTTTTGTCCCTCGATGTCGTGCCAACGACACGTTACGTGAAATTAAACCAATCATATCGACTCTACTATTCCAGTCCATGGACTCCCACTGGATCATTTGAACCAATGATATCTTTCGTTAGTTTATTAAACGTATTTTTTTTACAAAAAATAGATATAAAACTGYATCAAAGTTATTATATTCGGATATTTATTTTTCTATCCCTCTTATGAAATGTAATTCATTTTTATCACGAACGCTTGAAATATAAATGCGTAATAGCCATACGAACCAATCATATCTTCTGTTAGTTTACTATGAAGTCACTTCCGGYAGATAACTGTGTATACGAATAAAACGTGCCCAGAGCCAATCACGTGCACAGAGCATTTATTTCTTACTGCGCATGCTCGACGAAATTTTGATAATTATTTTCCGAAGTTGAAGAAAAAACTGCATTGTGGGGACTGTTAGGTGACATATTTCCAAAATGGAGTATATTTCGGTCTTAAAACAGTCCCACATTGCATTGGAACTCGATCCGGTTTTTTGCTAAATCCCAATAACGAGTGATAAAATAACAACCAACAGCGATATCTGTTACTATACTATGACGTCACTTTCTACGTAGAATATATGTTATGATATGGTTAACGATAATCAATCTTCACGGCAGGCTCACGGTACGGAATTGAACTGTCACATCTAATTCAATCGAAGCGAACGAAGCCGTGATCCGTCAAGATACCAGCTATCAGACATAGAAAAGGAGCCAGCTGTCCTCAGCCATATTGTCCAGCAGTGCAAATGTGCACCAATATCGAGTGCGCACAGTGCACATACAGTCTGCGCGTGCACATACAGTCTGCGCATCCACACTCGTCCAACACTGTCATAAAATGTATGTTGGTTTTATTTATGATCGTTCTTATCATCAAGATTTTGAGAGTCAAACCTCAATATTCACCTCACAGACACAGGTTTTGCAGAAAAGATGGGAACTGGATACATTCTATATAGTGTATTCATCCGCTCATGAGAGGTCAAGGCGGTTTAGAAGTCCATACGGCGCCTCACCTTCTTCGCATGTCATAGTAGTCTGGGTTAATATTTTGGTAATTTAGGTAGCTGTAGCTAGGTTGGAAGCTTCCATATGCATGTTCTGCCGTATGCATGAATTTGCATAATCAGTTTTCTTGGAATCAAAATGCTTGCCGGGCGACATAAATAATACAAAAATATAACTTCTGCAAATTTTTGATATAATTACTCTGTTTATCAGAGATGTCGTAACAAATCCTTGCCATTAGTTTATAATATTTAAGAGAATTTTGGGACTCTTTCAGTTTTCACATGATTTAAATTCATTTTAGTTTTTTATTAGTTCGAAAGAGACCCAGACTGGAACAAAGAACTGATACACAGTAACCATTAAACAGGCCAACAATATACTGATCTATTTAAACCGTCACCTGTTTGCAGTCAACAAGCTATGCTTGAATGCCTAGTTATTGAAGTTGTTTGACATCCAGCCCAGGTTCGCTCACGCACATTATACTCGCACAAGACAACATCGACGATAGAGATAGAGATTTTGTTTCGTTTTACTTTAATTTTCCTTCCAGAAATCTCCAAACTAATCGTGGTGCCGATTCAACACAATTACAACCCCCACAAGCCTCCTTCTTAGCTAACAGTGTCAGTAATGATAACAGAGTAAATTTGACACTGTGGAGAGATGAAAAAGCTTACTGACGTTTCGGACGCCAGTCCTTCGTCGGAGTAACTTCTTAGCTAGTAAACAAATTTGTTTTTGATAAGACGCATTTTCAATGAAAATGAAATCTCCACCGGTTCGCAATGACGCAAAAAGCATTGGATACCTCCGCGCTCCAGCCAGTTCATCATAACAAATCTTTCTTCAGCTTCAATCTCTTCTGTTTCCTGAAAAACGCTACCTCTACGCTGTCAAAACATACCTATCAGCTCATAACAAATACTTAAAAATGACACAGAAAATGATATAAATGATACAAATTGAAAGCGTGAAAAAATTCATATCCCATTTTAGGGTTCTAAGTATTATTGGACCACTAGAAATCAATCCAAAAAATTTTTCCTTAGAAAGCAAGGTCTGTACTAAACAAACATCACTAGGATCTGATAATATGCAGTTAAGAAGTATAAAATTGAGATAAAATAAATAATTTTGTCAGACTTTTGAAGCAGGGTAAGATTGACATCCGGGCTTCTGTTAGTTTTTTTTGGAGAGCTTCGTCTTTGATCATGCGCAGTGCTGTTGTGTTTACTGGAGATGGAGAGCTTGTTGAGCTCATTAACTTCATCACTATAAAATAACGTTGTAATCCAACGTCTAGGGCTATTTATTATAAGCTCCACCATGAGTGGAGGCTGTAGACATCTTCCTTACTTAGCACTGTATATTGTTTCAGCSAGTTTATTGAGTTCTCGCGGAGCTACACATTGGAAGTTGAACGAAAATGATGGCGTTGTGAGGATCTTGGACAACAGTAAAAGTCCTGATGTTCTCAAATCTGATCCTATTTTAGCCATTCTAACCAAAGGATTCCCTACTAAAGAGGTAGCTTTGAGAAAACACAATTGTGAACAATGTATAGATGGTGGATCGGTGACCGGAAGGTGAGTAAATCGCGTAAAAACAGTACTTCTTTGAACAAACTTCACTCATGTTGACAAGTATTCCACACAACTTGAACCTTTTATCATAAATGAACTTAAAGCTTATCCAACTTCATTATAAATAATAATGTCTGTGAATTACAACCTTCATGAAGGAAATACTTTTTGCTTAAAGTAAAATTCGATATTCTGGAACRATATATTTTTTTAAAGTTTGACAGACGACAGCGTGGTTGATGTAAACTTTTCGCAACCAAACAAAAAACCTCTTGTTATGTTAACTAATTACGATCGTTGTCATAATACCTAACTTTAATGGATTCATAATGCTATWCCTTATGCTTTTTATTTGCGAAAAACATTAGAGAATATTATCATCTTCTCAGAAGTTTATTTGTTTTTGAGGCATATTTTTTCCTTATAATGAATTCAATGTTTATATCTTTTCTTGCATTTAAAATTCACCTGTCACGACTTTGCAATTTTCGATCAATATGCATTTTTATTTGTTCAATGTATTTATTATTCAAGCTTGTTATCGTTGCTATAAAGAATGTGGAGCATTCTTATTGGCTTACAATTTTCATTGAAATCTAAATTTTAGTAATTTTTTGTCAACATTGGCTTTGAAAATATGGAAAAGAGGAAAAACTTAGCGTTGAGATATATCTCCCTATCCAGCTGAGTTGACTGCATTCCCCAGAAGAAATTATGGGTCAACAATTTTTAGTTCGCATTTTCGTAGCAGGGGCTGAGTACAGATTTCTTGTGCTCTTTGAACTAGAATTCCACTATGTATTCAACTAGTAGCATTTACGATGAATTTAAAGAAGAAATTATATTTCATGGGTTCTCTTGGCAGAATCATGGAAAATGCTAATCAAAATATGATGATGAAACCTCAATTCTCATCTGTTGACCTTCAGTTTTTTCTGAAGGTCAACTCAGCTGGATTTTTATCCAATTTTTTACATTCAAAAAAATCTTAATATATTTTCGAATCTTCATAAAGYTATTAAAACTTTCTTTCAAAATGAGTCATTATGTTGGCAATTGCTTTGGAGTTGGCATACTCTATAATGTAAACTACATTTGAAGAAAAACTRCCATTCAAAGATTAAGGATTTTTCGAATTTATRTGAACCCTGWAACAATCTCTGTGCTGATCTAACTCACRGATYGGACCCTGTAACGACCTCTGTGCTGATGGAACTCACAGATCAAACCCTGAAACAATCTCTGGGCTATCTAAGTCTAGGGTATGGCTAAATAACTCACAGATCACAACTTTAAACRACCTTTGGGCTAATCAACTCAGAATTTAATGTATTAGGTGATTTGACAAGTTTTGATTTAAAATAGCACAAAGTGTGACCAATCTAAACATTGGTCTATCCTTTGTGTCTTCATATTAATTCTTATTTTTGCACTTAATAGTTCTGGTGTGCTATCCCAAGGGCCAACRGCAATCGAAATGTTCCCATCTCCATCACTTACCTGTGGATTACCRGTTAACGAAACAATATATGACCACTTGGAGGGCATACGGACACGACATAAACATCCTGCCTATGCAGAACCTGARGTGGCAATGATATTTAAAAAGACAGAATTAGAAGACATCGATCTTAATGCTATTGAAGTCACACTGAAAAGAAATTACGAAGAGGTTAGTAGGTAGATTGTCAATGCAAAAGCATGTATTCACAGGTTGAGGTTTGTTGATGAGGTGAGGGGGTGGGGGGCAGAGAGAAATTGTTTTACGAAAAATGGATTATAAATTTCTATTGCAGTCCTCTTCCTTTTCCATGGTTAGTGGAAAATATTTCTTCTTTTTGATATTGTGGAAAAAAATAAGATATATTCAGTGTTTTCTCATTTATATTCATACAGCTGTATGTCATTCTCTTGAGTATTGTTTTTTGTTACCATTGATGCTTGACAATGTTCATTATCATATGACCCGTATCCGCCTGGGCACGCACTCTTTAAAAAAAACCTTCGGGAAAATGACATAAGCAGGGCCGTGCGGCTTTGAGCGAGCAGGGCCATATGAACCCATACGACCCTGCTCGAAACCTGCGACGGCATTGACATCATTTGTAACTTTTAAAATATCTGTTTTATTTAGGGCCATATGATAAAATGCTTATTGACTGAGTTAGGTCGGGTCGTACGGGAAAATATTTGGCTCTCGTTCATTTTTAGTGCATCACCTTGAGCCAAATATTTTCCCGTACGCCCCTTCCACTCAGTCAATAAGTACATAGTATGGATACAACTCTATCAAAGAATCTTATTTTTCAAGGAATGAAATGAGGTCTAAAAAATATTATGTCCAAACTAAAAATTGAAATAACTTGGAAATTTTATAATATTTTACTTTCGATTTACTATTCTTGAATGAAACACTAATGTCTTGATCTTAATGTTTTGCTTATTTTTACTTTTTTAGAGCCCAAACTCAGTAGTTGTATGCAACCAAATTGGCAATTTTTGGAGAATCCGTGGAAACTCTTATCAATCRATAGAATGCTTCAGAAAAGCCCTTTCGCTCTCACCTAACAATGCTGACGTCTTACTAAACCTTGCCAGAGTTTTATTCAATCTGAACTTTCATCAMGATGCAGTCTTCTTAACTCGACGCTCCTTAGATTCACAACCCTCAGAACAAAACTGCTGGCTTCAGCACTTYACTTTGGGAGAAATTCTTAAAGCAACCGGAGAGTATGAAGAGGCAGGAACTCACTTCCGACAAGCACTTGAATTGAATCCATCGTTCCATCCAGCTGAAATTCACTTGAGAGACATTGGTCTTCCCCCAACATCAGCAACCAACACGTACACCTTCCTGGTGATTGGGTTATTATTGGTTATCGTCTTAGCAGTGGTCTATTTCATGACGCTGGCCAGTGATAACAAAGGAAATAAAGCATCCAAAAATTCAGTTTGGAATGATTTCAAAAAACCTGGTAAAAAGAAGATCATTACATGATGTTTGAGGATGCGTGGTTATGCAATATTTAGGGCTTCCGTTATCCACTAAGTTCAWTGAATATTTGTGTTAAATTTGTTTTTTCCAAGRTGCTGTTAGACTTTCCTGGAGAAATTTACTGAAATGGCTATRAATATTGCATTCAACTCAAGATTACTTTAAACCATGGCTTGAAAACCTTAGGCCTAGGGGAAACGTAAAACTTTCCATGCACCGAACTCATTAAAAACAATGGATATTAGGTGAGGCGGCATTCTTTGATGTAATTAAGTTCGGTGCATGGAAAGTTCAACGTTTGCCCTAGGCCTTAGTTTAAAGTAATTTTAACAAGTTTTAACAAGATTAATATTGTTTTGGGATTTTCTGTTGTATTAAGAATTTTTCTCTCGTTTTCCTTCAATATAAACGTAATCTATTTTGGACATGAAAAAAAATCCTACACTTCATTCACCTAAAAAGTTTCAAMTTTCACAGCTAGTTTAGAGCATGATGTGCAAAAATATTACCACATTTACTACCATTATTGATGAAGTGCAACCAACAAAGTTTGATGTCTTGTTTGCGGACTAACATTTCAACGACTGTCAATCATAGAACTGAAATAAAAAATCAATATCTTGAAGAAAATTTATGAAAAAGTTTTAGGTCATCCCAAAATTTCCATCAAAAAATATTGGTGTTTTTTTAGTTCTTTGATTGATGGTCATTGCAATGCTGGTCGGCGAAGGACACATAAAACTTTGAGGGTCACACTTCAGTGATAATTGTAGTCATTCGCATACTTCTGTGCAATGCCTTTTTGCTGCCAAACGATCAAGTGAGCTTCACATGAAATAATTATGTCAGTTCAAGATACTATATCTTGTGCATGGAAGTATGCCAGGACGTTATTGCTTGTCATTCTTTTGCACATTGGCTGTAACAATTGGCAGTCTGAATTTTTTGGGGGAAATTTTTGTTTTCAAAACCAAACCACTGTTTTCAACTTGAAAAAAGAAGGAAAATCTCATATTGTTAGTAAGGTGRAAGGGGGTTAATATTTTGAGTAGCCATGTGTTGAGATGTAAATCTTTGGGGCTTTTTAATGGCATCTTGGAAGAAACTTACTTTTTACACTTCATTTTTGTMATTTTTATTTATTCTGTTGGCAAGTTTTCATAAAGGCGCTGAAATACAAGACAAAAAAACGTCCAACTTGTCGTGCAACATTGTTGCGGTGCAAGTTCGAAAACAATGTTGCTCGTTTTACATCCTATCTATCCAACTTGTCAGGCAACAAAAACTAATGCTGCAAGTTGGGGCTGTCACGGTGATATTCTGCATGCTGATTGACTACGAGCTACATAATTCAAGATGGTGGCCGCTTCTGCACATAAAATGTGGCATGACAAGTTGGACGAGTAATGAAAAAGGAACAACAAATTGCAAATTTGTTGCAGAAAGTTGATCTACGTTCTCATTTTGCAACAAGTTTTCCCCATTTGCAACAAGTTTTCCCCATTTGCAACAAAAGATTTGTCGTGACAAGTTGGATAGATAGGGTGTAAAACCAGCAACATTGTTTTCGGACTTGCACCACCAGATGCGCGACAAGTTGGACGTTTTTGTGTCTCATATTTCAGAGCTTTAACACATTATGGAACTTATGGTTTACGRTTATGAAGTTTTGGTTAGCCAAGTTTTTGTAATTTTTTTCTGAAGCTGCAAATATTGTCAACTTAAAAAGACATTCCAGGGAGTAAAACTCCTGAATTCACAGATATTTATAAAAGAAACTAAAAAAAATAGCAAACTAAAGGTTTTACTATTGAAATTATCACAAAATATAGAAAAAAAAGTAAAAACAATGTTGCTGCATGTATTGAACTTGATAAAAGAAATCATTTGCACAGTATAATGGTCTTGGAGCTGAGAGGGTTGAGCCTTCGAAGATAACTTTGATATTATGAGATCAGACAAGCGTTTTTAATAAATTGAAGCTTTCACACACAGAAAAGTGAATTGGTTTTTTTAAGATGGGACCTTGGAAACTGAATGGGTCTTCCTACTGCTAACATCGGCTACATTTTTGAGTATCAATTCCCCCCTGACTTGTATTCTTACACATACCACATAATGGCCAGACACTGGACAATRTCTGCCAAGAACAGCGCAGTGMACTGATTCTAAAAATAGCTTAAAGATTCRGACAAACATTGCATTCTGTTTAACCGCTACGAGGATTATACAAACTGATTTTATTATTTTTACTTAAAATTACAATAATAACCCATGGAAACTAAGATCAACTRCGATCGGCTKTGAAAATTATCTGCTGAAAGTAAACTTGTAAGTTTGTTTGTCTTTATTTCGCCTTTGTCTTCRTTTTTATGACGTCACGGTTGCGCTGCGCTATTGGAACTAATGTTCGGTCAAATCTTTGCCTTGCTTGGTCATTTTGAACAGTAACATTGACCACCGACTTACTGGCCATTATTCTAAGCCCTGCATACTAGTCTATTATATTTTCAAATTGATCCCCTTCACTTTTAATGTTAATCCAGGGTCCTTGTTGGTGTTAGACAAAGGTTAGGAACTTTGAAGTTAAAAAATACAAAATAGTTTTCCGTTTTTGATACTCTGATCTAAGCATGCAGGATGCAGAGAGAACACAAGGCTAGCCTCCTCTGCAGGCTACCCCATGTATTCTCTGTTGGGATCCCTTTCTCTGTTGGGATCCCTTTCTCTGTTGGGATCCCTTTCTCTGTTGGGATCCCTGTGTTAAGTTAATATAACGAGGAGATAGCTGTGATGGAAGCTGAAGAAAAGCATAGAAAACTGACAAATAACGAAGTGGTTCCAGTTTCAAAAGATACTACCATCTAAAATGGTATTTCAACCAGAGCACACGAAATAACTCGGTCAAYTTTAAATACTATTTTCAGGTATAGAGGGTAATGTGTAAGGGTAGGGGGCGGGGTAGAGGGAGGCACATATGCCCCACCCTGGAAGGAGCGTCCACTTTTTAATCAAAAAGCCACAATTGCAATCCATACATTAAGTAGTATTTTCAATACAATGCAGTACTTACAAGGGTTTCACTAAATAAATTAAATTCCTAGTAATACATCGTTGATTCCTCTCATTGGATTGGTGGAGATGCATGCCATTTTGACTAATAATMTACACAATATAGCAGCAATAATAAAAACAATATATAATTCATTGCAGAGTAGACAGTGTTTACAAAAATACAAGGATATGCATGATTATTATGTACAACTCTTCACCCGTTTTCAAATCTTCCTAGTACCACTAATTAAATTAAGGCAATAGACCAAACGATTCTTCAATTTCTTTTTTGTCGATTTAAGCCTCTGTGAGGTCGTCGTTGAAGTAAAGATGAATCGCTGGAAGAAATTGTTCATCGTTCATTCCRAGTTTGTAGAATTCTTCACTTTCATCTGTGACACCATTGTTGTGTAATGTTTTATTCATATCCAAGTTTTGTCCTTTGTATTTCCAAGTATAACTTGCTGCGTGTGCATTGTAATTGAGATAACGATCTTGGATTTCTGTTAGGATTTCTTCAGAGCAAACCTAAATAATATTCAAGTTTTAAAGGCAACTCATGATGTTGTGAAACTTAATATAATAATAATAATAATAATATGGGGTTCTTCTATAGCGCATTTGTCTCAATGCGCTTTACAATGCAGTAATATACAGTGGAGTCTACATGTAGTTATATCAAACCCCAGATATCTTAACTCTGTATTATTTCAAACTTGAGGCCTCGTCCCATGGACTCATGTCAGTACAATTTTTCCCTTGAACTTCCGATTGTTTCCAACCTTTTGCCAGGAGGTTTGAGATCACCAATTCCACTGTGTGCTTTCGAAATCATCTTATCCCAAAGCGATGTAATTAAATGGACGCCACATCGAATTGGAAGTAAATAATAGTTCAGGAAATAATTTTATAGAGTTTCTGTYAATGTAATCATAGTCAAAGTAGCTGAGATATAGTTTTAAAATTATCTATAATTATTTTATATCATTATTACCTCAATGACTTTTTCTTGTGAAGTGAGATTATTGATAATTCTAATTTTCCTTGTTTTTGCCRATAACAGCCCGATACAATATGAATCATCTTTCCACCATGGGCGACCAAAGTCATTTGCCCAATCAGTGCGTGGGCAGGGAGGTGGTATATGGATAAACCTGCCGCGAGGGGTGTAGTAATTTCTGCAGTTGGTGACAGGATCTATATGTGTTCTTATCTGGAAGACATGGTAATGAAGATAAATCACCATATTCATGTCTATTAAAAGATAAGTAGAAGGGGGTGCTGAAAACCTGCAAGTGAGGCTAGTAGCCCTCTACAAGACGATCATATATGTTTATCATTACAGTCACCTTGTTATGTAAAAAACTTTAAAAAACTCATATTTTACGACCATCACTACCCATAAGGGACTCTTCTGTGAATTTCGCTCTACACAGTCATCTACCCCTACATTCTATATTACAATACTGTATAGAACAATCAACTCACATGTTGATTTTTTTATGTGTGCTTTGATTGATTAAAAGCTGTGCTGTATTAGTAAACAGACCACAGTTCTGACCCCACATGTGCACACAACTGACTTTGCAAAGAAATGCAAGGAAACATAAAAATTACAAAACATGTTTTGGAAATTGGCAGAACACTTGAGAAGCACTGAGAAGCATTCCAGGGCCTTGGCCAGACCAATATGTTTACCAAGGCACAGGAGCGTCAATAAGGGGAAAGCAACTAGTGGGGTTCGAGGACATTCCCCTTTCCCMAAAATTTTTTGAGATTGAGACCCTTGGAAATGCCATGTTATAGAGTATTAGGCCCAGTTGTACGAAGCGTGGATAGCGTGAGCTCTGGCGGATAAATCCTTATCCAGTGGATAAGTCGATGCTGTTATCCAATTAATTTATCCACTGCATAAGATTTATCTGTTGRATAGCRCTATCCATGCTTCATACAACCGGGCCCAGAAGGGCATTTGTGACAATCTACCGAGGCAAGTGCCTCGCTTGCCTCGTTGTGGCTATGGCCTTGCATTCTGCTGTGCTTTTTTGCACTTCTAAAACTTTTCTTGTGTTCTTTCATTCCATGTATACTTTATACCTTTTCACAGTATATATGTGCATTATCTATTTCTCGAATACTGTCRAATAATCTCTCAGTCTATACTCACGTCCTTGGCCTTTTTGTCAAACCAATGTGTGATGTCCTTTCCTGCAGATTCTATGATGGGCTTTAAAAGAACATTACCTGAAAAATTTAAAATAATGATAYTATTAATATTAGTTACCAAAAGAAAACTACAAAACAAAGGCRTTTTCATGATCATTTTAACTTCGAAACTTCTAGAAGGCAGGTTGGCTTTGTTCAACCAAAAACGAAGTCACTTTTAATGTACAAAGACATGAGAAATCTGGAAAGTTTTAAGCTTTGTGTCATGGAAAGGTAAAGTTTGATCTTTTATATCAAAATAACAATATAATGACGGATTCAGAGGATAATAAAGCGTAGTAAAGGACAGGAAACGATAGGAAAAATAAATTAGAACGACAGGACGTCAATGAACGTAGCTCGTAAACCTTACAACAAAACGTRAAGCTTACCAGCATTATTCTCGCAAAGAGCAGTCAAATCGTAAACCTTCCCCATAAACGACACCCAAATGTCCTTGAGTGTATTATGAACGTTTACTTCATTCGGTGTGTAGTATTTGGGTCGTCTTAAAGCCTGCTGAGGCATATTTTTTGCGACTTTTTCACTCGATTTACATCAAAGTTTTAACCTTCTCTTTTGCTTGTGGAAACTCGTACGTTACTATRGCAACCAGCTGGTTCGATCTTCGTGTTCAGCGGTATTCTAAARCACAGGGAACCCAAAATAAAAGAAAAAATTGAATCAAAAAAGTTATGAATTTTCCAAAAAGTTTTAATTTCAAGAACTCAATATTCCTAAACTTAAAATTAAGAAAATGATAGAACTGTTAAATTAGGGTTTAACAGAAAAAAGGGGGGCATTCGTATTTTTACTGTGAGTTCTATGTTACTTTTTAATCCCATTAATTTTCACTACATTAGTATTTTTAGAGTAGGAATCTTTTATAGATAAAAAAGAAAGAACGATAGAAAAAAAAGAAAAGAAAAAGAAAAACACTAAAAAAAGGCTCTACCACAGGAAGCCCAATAGATTAAGCCAGTACCACAGGAAGCCCAATATGTCGTAACTCTTAGTTCTAGTCAACACGAAGCAGCCATGTTTAGACGAAAAGATACTCTTTACTTAACCACTTATTTCTAACCCTAGAAAWAATATTTATGTTCTAGCCTTTGACTGAATGAAAAAATTATTCAACTATTTTATAAATCGTGTTTTTATAAGTCGTAAAAGGTAGGTTTTTAAGACTTTTTTTAACCCCCAATAACCTTCATCCACGTTCGACAAAAACTCAGATCAAAGATCGAGCCAMATATTTTACCTATATTATTGAAGCTGTGATTTTTCTTCTGCTGGTGGTTTTTAAATAATACCACAATAGAGTGCATGCCATATATCCGTGAAACAATGAYTAGCCATGTATTGCATAAAAGTATTTAGTTAGCAACCATTTAGTTGTAAARTAGCTACGAGTTCACACGGGCATGAAGAAAACAAGACGTAGGAATATTTGATTTTGTTCCCAATGTTTTGCTCCAATAATATCCACTATTTTGTACAGAATAAAAGCAAAATAGCTGCAATTAGACATTAAATCTTTGGTGTTATTTCACGGATATAATGATGCACCATGTGTTATTCTCTTGAATATTGTTTCATTGTTTATTGATTCTACTTGAAAAGACAAAAGGGAAGGACTCAGTCTAAAATGGGAAAAACGTTG